GGAGCAGATATAAGATTTTTTTTCTTCTGCTGCTGCCTTTCATTTTATTTTATTTGTATTATTTTATTGTATGAAATGTTTTATTTTTTAACGAAATGAATAAAAATGAATATATAAATTTAAAAAAAATCTTGTTGCTCTTCCACAGTTCGGTGCCCTCACACCTCTGGAGCCGAGGTTGGGGAAGAAGCTCATCGAACCTTTGACAAATCTAATCCACAGGTGAGCTGAAAGCTGCAGCTGTACAGTTAGTTTTTCTACAGATGGTCAGAGTCGCATCTGATGAATTCATCAGTTTTTAATCTTTGTTTTTTTTGTTTTGTTTTGTTTTGCACCCCGTTTTTCTCTCTCACAGTACTTCTGCCATGTCTCTGCTATATGAATGTGTCAACACTGTAATTGCAGGTCAGTGCTGAAAATCTACGCAATGTTGCTCTCTTGGTTGTAGCTCACACCTGAGATTTAGTTTGTTTCAGATATTAACAGTTATTTTATTTTAAACGAGGATATGTCATTCAAAATCCACCTTGTATGGATTTAAAGAGACAGCCTCAAAACGGGCTGATCTGAGACAGCTATTAAAAAAGGGGTGAAAGAGGGACTTGTGGCGTTACAATAAGGAGAAATTCAGATCAAAGCATTGCAGTTCCAATTTGTAGAGAGCCCAAATGAATGATTTAAATGTGAAAAAGGTTTTAAAAGCATGATATGTCCACCCACTTTAAGACATGAGCATTTATGAGCCTGTGGATTTTTAATCTAATCTTTAGCATAGTTTCATTTTTACATTAGAAAAACAAACTTTTTAATTTCATAGAACAATTAAATAATAGTTGACGTCTTTAGGATTCATTAGTGTTTGAGTGCTGTTAAGTTGTTGAAGAATCTTAAGTTTGATTTGATATTAATGACTAATTATTGTCTTGTTCTTCATTGCAGTGTTGATTTCTTTATCCTCTGGGATGCCTAACCACAGTGCTAGTATCCAGGTAAGTCTTGGAACTCTCTTCATCAAATAAACATTGCTTATTGAAACAGATCTCCATTACTCCTCACTTGGATAAAGAATCTTCTTCCTGGGGTCCACAAATAAAATAAAACAAAACATAATTCATTGCATTGAAATTAAAACAATTTAATTAAAACAACCTCCCCCCGCACACCGCCTGCCCCAGATACCCAGAAAGTCAACATTTAAGCAAAAACCACTAAACAAACATATTGTTTCCTTCTACAGGAGGAATGATGCATAGAATTAATAACTAATATATCAAGACCATATGCTTATAACATAAGTCATCCAATCACATTAAGAGATCATGAGACACACCTAAAATAAAGAAAGGTAAAGTGTTCTTAAGTACTTCTAATTTTTTTGGCAGTTAAGATAAGATAAATCTTTATTGTTATTGTTGCACTGAAAAGACCACTGCGGTCCACAGACAGTGAACAACAAAATAATTTTTCAGCTCCCATAGTGCAAATAAATCAGAGCATTAAAATGATAAAATAAAGAGGTAAAAATAGAATAAAAAAGTAAGGGAAAAAAAAGATCGAGGGACCTAAGGTCAACAAACTCCAACATAATATAGCTCTGTAAATCGAGTTTCTCAGTAAATGGACATGAACTTACTGTAATTATTAAACCCTTTTCACTCCAGTTGAATCATAATGCATGCCCTCTCAAGTCTGTTAAAATGATCGTAATTTTAAATAGTAAAATATATTTGTCACACAGGCAAATAAGATGGTTTTGTAAGTCCTGTGCCAATTATGCAGAAAAAAAATCTACTTTGAAATGTTTAAGCATTGCTGCTTTCACATAGTGTTCACTGTATTTACTGTGAGGGTGTTTGATGCAAAGCAGGGAGAGCGGCCAGTATTTGCACAAATCCTTTCTCAAGTTTGGTGTCAGTTACTGGCTGACAAAAAAAAAAAAAACAGGAAACGGTATGTTTTAATGGATTTCGATAGGATTTATCCTTCGAGCTGCCAGATGAAAGCTTGGGCGTTGCTTTTACGGATGAGGAGGAAGAGCTGAGCGTCAGCTAAGAGGATCTGGGTTCATAATATCTTTGAGTTTGGTGACTTTAGAGTTGTTCAGGAGCTGCACCTTTTTTACAACGAAAGACTCCAGGTCTGTTTCAGAGTAATGAGACCAAATGTTGTAGTGTTTAAAGGGATAAAACACAGAGAAAAAAAAACCTAACCTCAGGCAGTTCATCACTTCAGTGTAATCTTGGATTGAGATGGTCAACAAACATAAACTCAGTGTTTGTACCTCTGATTAGACTCTTAAGGGGTCGTCACAGAGCTTTAAGCCCAAGTTGAACTTTAGCACAAATCTGTTGGGTTCAAAAGCAGAACAAATTGCTCACTGCACCCTGAATAAAACCTGCTAAGTACGTTTTTTTCCCTCCTTTTCTTTGCCTCCATTTTGGTTTTTACACAAGTCAAATTGGTGTGGTATGGTTAACAATCATGTTTTCCCTCTTGCTTTCTTTCTCCTCCGCAGCTCTGTGTGCAGAAACTACGAATCCTGATAGAAGACTCGGACCAGAACTGTGAGCCCTCAGTCAATGCCTGCAGTGTGTCATTTTCTCATTGTCTGTGTGTTTCTGACTGGAACAGTCCATCCTTGTAGACGACGACACCGTAGAGCCCAGATTCCGGATAACTCGAACGTTACCATGTTCTCTTCAATTAAGGACGCCTGCTTGGAATTCTGTTGTTCTTGAATAAAATGTGCCTCTTTCCTCTCAGAAAGACTGCTGAGTGTGACAGGGAGAGAGGACAAGATTGTTGCTTCAATCTGACAACAGCGTTCGAGTTATCTGGACCGTGTAGATAGCTGTGTGTGCCCTAGACTGTAGACCTGTGGTATCAGTAGACTCTGTAGTTTTTAAGGTTTTGTTTATTAGTTTGCTACACTTTATTTTATTTCAACTGGCTGAAAAAAATAGGTTGATCCAGAACCTATATCTACATAAACAAAGCCCAATCTGAATGAAGAGCTATCACTCATTATTGAGTGCTAGCTCATACCGAAAATATTGGTTCTCAGAATTGGTTGCCACTTTGACATAACCAGGAGTCAGGAGAATCTGTGTGAGATAAGTTAATTGGTTCTCTACAGGAAAACTGATAATGTTTTGCATTTTTGAGGTGGTTTATTTCTATTTATAGTTGTGGCTTACTGTACTGGGTCAAGCCAGCTGTGTCCTGTTTGTTGGCTCAGGTTACTCTCTTCTTTCATATAATGACTCCGACCTATGAAGTGCCTTTGTTATCTGCTTTCTTCATGGATGGGGTGATTTATCATTAAAACACGAGTAGCAGGATATGGAGCAAACTTTAATGTTTTTTAAAATTTGTATCATAATTGTGCACTTTTAAATAAAATGCACCAAATTTTTCCACAAGTCACAGACCAGAAGAAATAAATTTAGAGGGCGTATCCATCATTGCCAGTTACTTTTGCAGTAAAGCCACATCCTTGGTTCTATTTTATTTTAGAAGTTGTCCTCTCCAGTGATGAGTGTTACCTTACTCCAAGGTCAGTACAGCACACGTTTATTGATTCAGGAACCTGAGAGGCATTGGTCTCTGCCACATAAAACAACGCAGAGTCCCATGTTTCAACCTATTAAAAAACATTAAAATCCTGAGATTATGATCTACTATTGACCCAAAATAAATATCCACTGTCTTGTGTGTGTGCTTGTGTGTGTGTGTTTGTCCTTTCCATCATTCTGTTTTTTCACTTATTTTTTCTTCTATACTTTTTTGTAGTTGATTTTATGCATATTCTTACATACCTGCATAGTAATAGTTTATTTCCATTATTTAGAGATTGAGTTCTCTATACTAAGGTTTTAAAGTCAGTACAGTTAAAAGAACAGACAGTTGCAATTTTTTGGTCTTCATAAAGTTTTTATTTCCCTATAGCCAGTTTAGAGTTGCAGTAAATATCCAGTATTCAGTTCATTGAAGTGTTCTGTTTTTGTTTTCACACACAGTGAAGTACTTGGGCCTGCTCGCCATGTCAAAGATTCTGAAGACCCATCCCAAGTCGGTGCAGTCTCATAAGGACCTGATCCTTCAGTGTCTGGATGACAAAGATGAATCCATTCGTCTCAGAGCTTTGGACCTGCTTTATGGCATGGTATGGAACCAAAACCTCTGGCTTTAATGTTGCTATGAGCTGTTAACTCCTCTTTGGCCCATCAAATTATTACATTTTTGTGTAGTTGCTGAGAAATGCCACAATTCCCAAGAAAACTGACATCAAGTCTACAAAAAAAAAAAAACCCACTGGAAACTTTTTGTCGTATTATAGTTGTGCAATGGTTTTTATCAACTTTTACCTTTAGATGTCTTTATACTTTAAGGAAAAAATGTCATACATTTTTGTACAAACCTTTAACATCTTGAATTATTTAATGATTTTAAATGTTTTCCCGTCCCCACACACAATTTCTACTTGCAAAAACCTGATCTAATCCAGATTATGTGGTTATTGTGAAAGAATAGCCTGTAAAATCTATTGAAACACTTTTCCAAAACATTTTTCTGTTCATGAAAATAAATTTTGGATATGTCCAGGTTGTTGTTTTTAATTAATTAATTAATTAAAAAAAAATTTTTTTGGTCGCAGTTGGTTCTGAAATCTTTTAGCAGTTTTTGTGCTGATTGAGAAATGGCCTGAAGCTGTTTGGTGCAGGAGGAAAGCCCACCTTTGACAGTTCTAAGCTTCCTGTATTTGTTTAGAATCAGTGCTAGCTCTTCATTCAGATTGGGCTTTGTTTATGTAGATATAGGTCCAAGACTTCAAAGTTTCTTTAATAGAAGTGTCACTTGAAGAAAAATAAGTTTTCTTTCCTCCAGATCATGTTGCAGATTGTTTGTGGAGACATAAATAGTGAACAGTTTTACCTGCAGCAGACATCATTGAGCTTTATGTTCAATATAATTTCAGCTCCTGTAATCAGGTTCCTGCATCTGCTTGTTGTTCTGATTCTACAGAGTGAACATGTCTGATGCATTTTGGATAGTTTTATCTTTTTGTCCCCAATTTCTTCCATTTGTTACAACTCCAAAAAACATGGAGGTGCTTGCCAAAATGCTCCTCTGAGTAAACAGTGTTTGACTGAGTTTGGCTTCACACGTGCTAATTCAGTCTTGTCTTCTGTGCAGCAAACTGTACACACCTTGCTGCACCATTGTTCTGAAATAAGTTATTTTTGTAAAATAAAAAAATACTTGTTAACCTTTAAATATTTTCTTCTAGGTATCGAAGAAGAACTTGATGGAGATTGTGAAGAAGCTGATGCTACATGTAGACAAAGCCGAAGGAACCACCTACAGAGACGAGCTGCTCACCAAGATCATTGACATTTGCAGCCAAAGCAACTATCAGTACATCACCAACTTTGAGTGGTCAGTCTCTGCTCTCCTGTTTAACGTGGAGTTTTGTTGTGGTGGCTGTTTCCCAACCTGCGCTTCATGTCTGCTCCACAGGTACATCAGTATCCTGGTGGAGCTGACCCGATTAGAGGGCACGCGGCACGGCCATCTCATCGCCTCTCAGATGCTGGACGTTGCCATTCGGGTCAAAGCCATCCGGGCGTTTGCTGTCGCCCAGATGGCAACGCTGCTGGATAATGCTCACCTGCTGACGGGCAACACGCAGAGAAATGGCATCTGTGAAGTGTTGTACGCTGCTGCCTGGATCTGCGGCGAGTTCTCGGAGTGAGTTGATGCTTTCAGATGTAGAAAATACATAGAGAAGAGTTCTGGGTTTAATCGCTGACACAGTTTTAGATCTAATTTTAGTAAAAATTAAAGTTTTGGCCAATTTGATCTTTTATTTTATCCATCTTCTACATTCAGTTCATAGTGTGACTATTGTGAAGCTTTCACACTATTGAGATGATCTGTTTTTCTCTTGGAAGTTTTCAGCACCTATCTCGTTCCACAGTTTTTGTGCTATTACAATAATTCATATATCAAAACATTGAGCTCCTTCTGGACATTCTGGCTATGACTTTTGGTTTTTCAGCAATTTAGTCTTTTTGAAGTATTTAGCCATTTTGGCAATTTGACCAAAAACACGTACAATAGGTTGCCTTCAGGTCCAGGCCTAACTTCAAAAGAGATCTATGATCTGAATAGAATTTTCCTGGTTAAACAAAAGGTTAATGATTAAATAAAAGGTTAATAGTATTTTTTGTTGTTACTGAAAATGAATAGAGCCATCTAAAACATCCTTAAAATCCTTCAAAAACAATTAAACCTTTCCTGCTCTTACCATTTTTTCTGGTTCTGCCTTTTTTTATTTAAATTCTTTGAGCTAATTTTAGCTTTCTTTAGTTTCTTTTTTGCTAATTTTAGCCTTTTCTGCTTTTTCATCTCTTTTTTTTTCTTCTTTTCAGCTATTCTGGTTCAGTTTTTTTGTGTCTATCAGCTTCTTTCTGCTAATTCAAGCAACTTTTTAGCTCTTTTCTGTTAACTTTAGCCTTTTCCAGCTAAATCAGGGTGTCTGTGGGTCCTTAAAATGTCTTAAATTCACATATCTAAAATTAAGACCTTAAAAAGTCTTAAATTTATTTAAAAATGTGCAAGTTGGTCTTAAATTTGTTACTCAAATGTCTTAAAATTTGTCGGGCAGAAGCGATTAAAGTTCTACGTCTCCCCCGGCCGTCTCTGCAGAACCATCACTTATATTTTCGGTCTTAAATTTCATTCAAGGTGGTTTTAAAAAGATCTTAAAAAGTCTTAAATTTTACTTGCTAATATCTGCAGATACCCTATAAATTCACATTGTGATAATTTTAGCTTTTTCTTTCAGCTACTTTATTCAGCAAACTTCCTCTTTCTGCTTCTTTGTGCTAGATTCAGCTGCTTTTAGCTACTTTTCTTAAAATTTCAGCTTTTTTGGCTGTTTTACAACTTTTTATTTTATTTTTTGCCTTAAGCGTTCACTCTGCATTTATGCAGAAAAAAAAACAATTCTCTAGTTGTCTCTTCACCGTGTAGTGAAGGACAGTTTTGCATACAGTTTATTCTTTTTACCTTGCAAGGACAGTAACATGGTGTCTTGTATTAACTTACATTGTCTCTTAAATGTTTTGTAGACACCTGGAAAACCCAATGCAAACATTAGAGGCTATGTTGCGACCAAAGGTGGCCACCCTGCCTGGCCACATCCAGGCCGTGTACGTACAGAACTCAGCCAAGCTGTTTGCCACCGTGCTGAAGAGTCAGGAAGGGGACACAGATGGCACAACCGCACAGGAAGCCAGTCAGCTGATGATAGACAGGCTGCCTCTGTTTGTCCAGAGCGCCAACCTCGAGGTGCAGGAGAGGGTAAGAACAAAAAAGTTGCATCTGAGCCAAGCTCAACTTACTGTCATTTAACATAATAAGGATCTCAAAGCTACATAAAACATTAACAAAGTGTTAATTTAGATTGGCTCACCTTGTCTCTCAGGCGTCCTGCATCCTGCAGTTGGTCAAGTACATCCAGAAGCTTCAGCAGAAGGATGTAGAAGTGGCAGAAGAAGTCTGTGCTCTGTTTGCTGGAGAGCTCAACCCTGTGGCCCCTAAAGCACAGAAGAAAGTTCCTGTTCCTGAAGGGTGAGTTTACTGTACAACTTGTCAAATATCATCTTTCTCACATCTGTTTTCAGGTTGTGTTTCTATATTTTAATATAATTTTCACCTGCAAAAATAAAACAGAATCTTTGTTCTTTTTGTTGCGAACATGTTTGTGAAGCCTGGACCTGGATGCTTGGATCAACGAGCCTCCATCCGAGAGCGAGTCAGAGGACGAGCAACCAAAGGCAATTTTTGCTAAAGAGGAGCCAAAACACTCCCGTTCTCGTCACACAGAGGTGGATGAGAAAGAGCTGGCCAGGGTACGTACTGATGAGCCATTGGCCTGCGCTGCAGTATAGATCAAACAAGAAAGAGCAAAATAAGAGAGACGAGCCAGCGAAGGTGGTTCTGGTAAGAATACCCCCTGGGTGGACACGCTGGAGACACTGTGGAGTCCTCCTAGAAGAGGTGGCTGTGGAAAGAGGTGTGGACCTGCCTGCTCAAGCTGCTGCTGCTGTGACCTGACTCAGCAACAAGCCGACAGACGATAGATGAATAGATTAATAAAACAAAACAAACTAAATGTCTTTAAAAGACCTCGTTGTGTAGTCTACATTTGCAGTGTATTTCTTCTGTTAACAAACCGTATTGATCCTAGGTTGTGTAATTATTCCATCTTCTCATGTGGATCCCTGTGTGTGCTTAAACTGATGCATCAAATAATTTATGCTGCTATTTTTATCTCCTCACTTCCAGAGGAGAGAAGCCAGGAAGCAGGAGCAAGCAAACAATCCGTTTTACATCAAGGCCTCCCCATCCTCTCAAAAGGTAAAATGACCACGTTTACTTCTTTTATTATTCAGTACTTTCATATTTTTTGTGCTTGGTGTTCACTGAACGTATGAGCTACACGAATAATATTGTTGTTGAATTCACAACTTCTTCTGTGTAGGTGTATCAGGAAACTCCTGGAGTGGAGCACATCCCAGTAGTTCAGATTGACCTCAGTGTGCCTCTCAAAGTCCCAGGTGGGAAACAATTCTCTCACATAAACAGACTTATTTCACTTTAATGAACCTAAACAAGAATCTAAATGGTCTAATTTACCTGCAGCATATTAAAACCACGATGTTTGTTTCCAACATTTCTCCATCCTTCTCGTTTCCGTACGACCTCCGACGCGTTTTATCAGCTTTTAAACCGTATCTTGTCGATCAGGTCTGCCTATGTCCGACCAGTACGTGAAGCTGGAGGAGGAACGCCGTCAGAAGGCGAGAGCAGAGAAGAAAAAGAAGGAAAAAAAGAAGAGGAAAGAAAAGCGCAGCGGACGAGGGAAGAAACACGACTCCGGTCCGGAGAGCGAAGAGGACATCGCACCTGCGCACATGGTCGACATTGTAACCGAGGAGATGCCAGAGGTAGGGTTAGTGTGACGTTTAACGGGAACCAATGGATAATGTTGAGACGAAACACCTTCTCTGATTTCGACCAATGAAAAAAATAGTTCATTTTAGTTTAACTTGCATTACATCTATCAGTTGTATTCAAGCGTTTTAAAAAGAATTCCAGAATCTGTCTTTATTGTAAGGTACTTGTTCCTAAAAACTTTAAAACTAGTCTTTACTGTGTTTTTGTTCCTGTTGTGTTAAAGAGCAGAGCCTGAAAGTGTTTCTTAGTAAATTTCCTGTTGCTGTAATAAATAATAAAACAAATGAATTTATTGAATGTGATCTGTGCTTGTATCAGAATGCCTTACCCAGTGATGATGATGAAAGAGACCCCGCTGACCCGCACAAAGCTCTGGATATCGACCTGGACAAGTGAGTCAATGCTGTATTGATGTCAGTTCTTCATATGCTCAGCTCTTTGTCCACTTCTGTTGAGGTTTTTCAGAGATCTTCACAAAAACAGTCAGCCTTTCATTATTTATTTAGTTGTTTTTCAGGCTGAAGTTTGTAGTGAAGTGTTTATTTTTAGTGATCATTTGCTCAAAGGATTTCAGTATTTACTCCAGTGTACAGAGCCAAAGTTAAGCTTTTAGATAGTTGTTGTCAAAGTTTCTTTAACAGCTCTGATGATGTTCAGGGAGAGTTTGTTTGTTAAAACAAGCAAAACCTCAATTTTCCTTCGGGAGTCATTTGTTTTCTCTCTTTTTAATACCGTAAGATCATCCTTTTTTCATCTGTGGATCCTGGATCCAGTTCCTCTGCGCCTCCTTGAATCTTTAACATTTGGCGTGTGTATTTTCGAGTGAACGTCAAGCTGTGAAGTTTAGCTTTCTGTTTGTATCCCAGCAGGATTATATTGCGTGAAAAACCCAGATCTGGGAATGACTGAAGACAAAGTTTCCGCAGCATCACGAATGCCCCAAAGGCCAACGCATAGTCAGATTTTTCATATAAAGGAAGTTCTGTTCAGTCATCAGACTTTAATAAAGGTCCGTGCAGTCACAATTAGCCCTGCTGACCTGAAGCTGGAAGGTCCTGGCTCTGACTCCCAGCTGGGGCCTTTCATCAAAGCGTTTGCATGTTTTCCATATTCCTCAGTTCAAAAGCATGTCTGTGTGATTAATTGGCAACTTTAAATTGATCCTAGTGTGAGCGTGAATGTGTGGCCCTGTGATAATCTCGCAATCTGCTCAAAGTGTACCCCCACCTCTCCAGTGACTGCTGTAGATGGGCAGCCCTCCTAGCCAAAACATTATGGAAAGGTGTTCTAAACCTGTAGGGTAGACTTTAGATTGGACCGAAAAATCCCACCTGTCTAATTAACTTTAATTAGAGGCCCGAGCCTGAGGTAAACTTGATATATTGTTTTAATTAAGCGCTTAGTGATTTCAGTTTTAGATCACCATTTGAGATTTTTAAGCAAATCACAAATGAGTAGAGCAGGGCGAGGCCACATGCACATTAGTTTTCTGATGCACCTTTTTTTTCTTCTTTCATTTACAGTGTAAACTATGGTCTCCTCTATTTAGACTGTAAAAAGCACCATTTTTATGAGTGTATAATGTGGCCCTCGATTTTGGAGCTTAAAATGCATTAAAAAATCTAATCCTTGTGTATAATGATACTCCTAATTTCACACAGGCCTCAGGATTTTTCAGCCCTTGCAGTGTACCATGTGGTGGGGAAACAGATTATTTTAGTTAAACACACCTGTTGGTATGTTTGTGACTGCGGGAGAAACATGAGCTTCACGTCGCTGAAAATTGTCCGGTCCGACCGCAGAGGCATGTTGTTAAATTAGCAAGATGGACAGCTTCGAATAACAGCTCCTCTAGTTCTGTTGAGCACGTGAATGTGCAACTGATGTCCTCGTCTTCTTTTCGTCTCCGTCCAGCGATTAACGTAAAAAAGAATAAATAGTTTTTCTCCTCCAGCTCCGGTGTGAAAACATCAAACAGCGTATACTAAAGCAAAGACGGAAGGAGAAATTACCCCACAACACAAAATTTCATTTATACACAAGAAAGTAATTAAAATTCATCATGGTAGTACATTAGAAAGTAATCGTTCAAAATTTATTCCATGTATATTTACAACTTCTCAACTGTATGGATGATTTTTTTCCACATTATACTCTCAAACACACCAGATTACCTCTTTTAGATTGTGTGTTCTTGTTTAGTTTACTCTGTTCTGTATGTATTGTAGGGTTATTTAAAAATATGTCACAAAAGTCCAACCCCACAATGAAGCCTGCAGTTTTGACCTGACCTTGCTCGAATTTTGGCTCAGACCCAGGCTGTAAATCTAAACTCTACTGTAGGAGCATCCAACCACAGTATATTTATACATGCTTTAAAAACCTGTTGTGATATTCTATTGTCAATATTTGTGTCTTAAAATGGATTCATTTAAAACTCATTTTAAAGAGCATGCAGCATATAAAATGGAAAGGCTAAAATAGTCTTTCTATTTACACTGTACATTTTTTCTGGCTACAACATTGACTTGAATATGATCTGACCCCCTTTCTCACACTCCTCATGGCTTCTGCTTTTTCTTTTCTATGCGTACACACAACCATCACTGCCTCTTTGTGAGAGCAGTTTGGTGGAATCGGCTGGGCGCAGGTGAGTAATATTCCAGCCAGGACCTGGGCTCAAACTGCCTCCGACTGCTTTACCGTCTTTTCTTTCGTTCTCTGCAAGTAGATGTCTCTTCACATTTGGAGCTTGCAGTTTGCTTCCCGTCTTCTTTCCTTGTAATTTTAATATTTAGACTTTGTAGCTTTAGACATGTTATCTGTTAACATCCCTTTTCTCCTATTCTGATGCCTTTTTACTGTTTATTTTCACTCAGCCTGACAATATCAGCATCTGGAGTTCTTTACTTTGATTAATCTGCTCTTTCAAATAAAACAGTTTTGGAATGGGTAAAATAAAACGGACTGATGCTGATGTTCTCAGGATTTAATCTTTTGCCACTCGTCCTTCAGAAATAAGCTTGTACTTTACTTTGAAGGAGCCAGACTTTCTTGTAATGTTTTAAAGTGGTCTTGATCTGTCATTCCTCAGGCTTTCTGAAGGCCCTGCAGGGTCCGGTTTTTGTACCTGACCATAACAGAATATTGTGCTTTTAAAAAAACTGGAGAAAGTAGAAAACAAAAGAAGTGTAGGGCCTAAAATAACCTTTCCCAGTATGCCAAAATCATGTAGTTTTTTAAATAATGGGGGGAAAAGTTAGCAAAGATTTAAATGGGGCCATGAGAGATTCATCACCTTCAGAGTACGGGTTTCCAGTTAGACAGATCTTTTTTTTTCAGCCAGTGGATTTTTATTTATTTATTTAGAAAGGGGAAAAGGGAACAAACTGGGCCCTTTGACAGGCTGGTTTTAAAGACTGCGTTTAAAATAGGTTCTTTGCTGAGTGTTTAGTTTTGTTTCGAGTTCATGAGCCTTTTTATGTACGTTATGTTAAGTTAAACAAATAAAAAAGTATTTATTTGAAAATGGTCAAGTACTGGACTGAAAATTGGTATAAAAGCAGTCAAAGTCTAAAGGAAAGAGTCTGGCGACTTGGTAGCAAAATTTGAGGATTGACTTTTACACAGTACTGTAGATCTTGAACAGTAATAAAATTAGATTTTACAAGCAGTTCTGACAGAGCAGAGCCTTTATGGAGATTGACCAGCAGGGGGACACGTTGCACCTTTTTGTTTTTGAAAGTTTCTGAAAACAGGAATGTTCGTTGTCTGGTTCCTTGCTGTCTGAGACGGCGTAAAGATTAAAGCTCTGTGGGACGAATGGCAAAAATGTTGCTCGAAATAAAACCTAACATGTTTGAAGTCTAGAAAATGTGCTTGAGTATGACGGACTGCTGCAGCTGACGTGCCTTGTTCAGCTTTTGTAACACACCGGCTTGTCAGAGAGCGCAGGAGGATTTAACGCGTTCCTCAGATCCTCATCCCAAATGCAATGAGTAGAAATCAAGAGTTGTGAATGTGCTTGTGTGCACGTTCTCTGTCCAGGCCGCTTGCAGACAGTGAGAAGCTGCCGGTCAGGTCCCACCGTGCCGTCGAGGTTCAGAAAAGCCCCGTAGAGGACGGAGAGAGAGAAAATGCAGCTTCGCAGGAACCCAAGAAGAAGAGCAGCAAAGAAAAGAAGGAGAAGAAGAAGGATAAAGACAGAGATAGAAAGGTGAAGGTGCAGTAGTCTGTGACACTCATCTCTGAGCGTAGATCAGTAAACTGCAATTTCTCTGGATCTTATCAGCTGCCGTGACAACTCTGTGGGTTTTAGCCTTGGTCTGACTAACACACAAATGATTTCTCTGTGTTTGCAGAAGAGCAAAGAAGAAAAAAAGAAGAAGAAACACAAACATGAAGAGAAGGAGGAGGACCTTCTGGGCGATCAGACGGACGAGCCCGTGGTCCAATCAGAAGAAACAAGTGAAGTGGCGGCACCGCCCACTTCCACCTCCGCTGAGGTATGCCTCTGGATCACTTCACTGTAGCATAATTCTGGTTAACTGATCTCAAACTCTTGATTTAAAAAATGAAGAATATAACATTCTGTGTAGTTTCTCCTGAAAAGATTAGATGCAGACCAGTTTGATCCTTATCCATGACTCGGCACTTCCAGCCCAATCGGCTCTTGTGATCAAGTGTCCGTTTTTTTCGTAGCTGACTCTTGCCAAACCCTTGATATATTGATGAAATAGCACAGTGTGATCTTAAGTATCCGTTTTCATGAGTAGTAGTGCGATACAGAACCCCTCTCACCTCCTGCCACCCCTCTCCCTGCCTTCCTCTCCTAGGTTTCGGACCTGGATTTCTGGCTCTCAAACGCTCCACTGCCCTCTAACACCCAGGTTGAGTCACCCCCTCCCAAAACTCTCTCCATGTTCTGCCTCCATATACTCACCTTCCACATTTCCTCTGTCGTAACTTTGTGTTTCCTACACCTCTCTCATTAAATGGGTTTATTCTACACGTCTTCAGAGCCATTAGATAAACACCGCTCTTTTCTTTCTCACTGTAGACAGTCTCTTTTCCAAAGTTCATTTTCCCCCCACAGGTCACACAGTAATCCCCCCCCCCCAACCACCACCACCACCACCAAGCCTCTCAGTCTGTTGTCTAGCATGTGCTTGTGTTCATACACGGTGCGTATGTATTTGTCTCAGAGTGCCAGTGGTTCTCCTTGGCTTTTGTTTTGCTCTATGGGTCTCGTGATGGTTTTGAGGTGGTGACATATGAGCAAAGGTCTGGCCTCAGTCGTGTTTATTTTATTTATTTATTTTTGTTTTTGCATCCCAACTGCATCATAATGTGTCCTCTGACTGCTTCCTCAGAGCTCATGTAGGGGTGGTGATCTTAATTTCCTTAGTCTGGAAAAAATTAAATTAAATAATGCTTACCTGAAAAACCTCATTTTTATGACCTTGCCTGTCAACAGTACAAGATAAACATGTCAGACTTTGAATTTAACCACTGATGATGTTTTTTACAGTCTTTTAAACATGTTAGTTTAATAAAACTAGGTTTAATAAGATGTTTGTGTATTGATGCATATTGTGTATTGATTCAGCCCTGGGGTAAAAGCTAACCTAGAAACAGGCTTCAGGATGTTCATGTGGAAGACTTATTTCTGTATTAGCCGTCACAGTAGCAGAACACATCTGAGTCGCATATTTTAAGCGGTTAGGATCAGGTGTGTCCCAATACCAGTTTTTCTCAAACCGAGTACGAGTACTTCAAATTGGGTACTAGCCAATACCACGTATTGGCAAGTATCCTATTCTTACACTTCACTGCTGGCCTGGCCTCAAACACATTTTCAGAGTCTTTGCATTAGACTGTATAGCCCGGTGCCACCCCTATTGCTGGAACCATGAAACCTGTGGTTCTATTCAGGCCTGACGTCAACTGCTGTTGCTTATTGATTGGTTCGCTGGCCGGGAGGGCGTCACGTCACACAGATGAGATAAACTTTACTTGAATCGTTTCCAACGACACTAATGATTTTTCACAAATTCAACTAAACAGCAACTGCAGCAAGCTCCCAAGCAACAACAAGCTAGCATTAGCTACCAGTAGCTTACTGTTCACTGTCGTCCTGCTCTCTTGTCTTTGGCGTCATACTGCTGGATGGTCCCGTGCAGCCTTCCATACTTCAGCTTGTGGAGTAGTCCATTGTTGTGTTGCAAATGAAACAAAAATAAGATGTGCACCTTCCTAGTATTATGTTCCCTGCCCGCATTCAATTCAATTCAAAAATACTTAATTGATCCCAGAGGGAAATTTGGTAAGATAGCACTCTGCTGAAAGCAAACACAACTGGGGCTGGGGTCAAATAAGATCAGGCTGCCTGTGGCTGGGCCTTACAATGCAAAAAATAAAAAGCCATTACTGAGTTAGAAATTAAACATTACGCAATACTTAAAAAACATATTTCTTTAATTTAGAACAAGGTGGCTCTTCTTCCTTATACAGCCCCTCTGACTGGATCAAATCAAATATACAACATGATATATAC